AGATTTAGAATCTCAGACTTATGTGCTTAAATAAGCCAACTGACCTCTCTGCAGGGTGGATTTAGGTGACAGGTTCTGATCTATGGAGTCTGTCTGCACTGGATGTGTCCTGCACTAAATGCTCAAACCCCAATGTGGGGACATACTAGAGAGGAGTTAGGCAGAATTCAGGCCTGAGGGTCCTGTGTGTGTAAAATAGACCCAGCAGCCGTGGGTCACAGAAGATCGCTTATGTCATACACAGAACCATGTAGATACTTGATCAGTGTCATAAATTCTACTTATGGCTTATAAGGGATAGTATCCTGTGTCCTCCTGGGTAGAGCAGCAGGGATCCACTTAAGTGTGTTTTCTTTTTTTCTTTAGGTACTGGGTATTGAACCCAAAGGTGCTTTACCACTGAGCCACATCCCCACCCCTTTTTACATTTTTTTTAAATTATGAGAAAGGGTCTTACTAAGTTGCCCAGGCTAACCTCGAATTTGTGATCCTCCTGCCTCAGCCTCTCAAATAACTGGGATTACAGGATGGTGCCACCACACCAAGCTCTTGGGTGTATTTTCTTTCAACTGCCACATGCTAACCCTGGGGTACACACCTGGGAAATGTATGGGGACTTCAAGAATATTTCATATGCATAATATTCAATTCCTATAAGAATAAAAAATGTTGTTTGTTTTTAAAAGAGGAAAGGAGGTCAATTGTGGGATGATCATAATACTGAGTTAAAAAGGATTTAAATCCTATGCTCCTGATGTCAAAGAAAAAAGAAGACCCCAAATAAACAAAGGTCACACTCTAGGGCTTACCATATGTCATGTGGCCAATGACCTATGAAGTTCAGACTTCTTACACTAATATTAACCAGGTGTGTCCGGCCTGCTCAGCGGGACTGCTGTTGACATGGGTGACCCACAGCCCAAGGTTTTACCTTAGGTTCATGAAGCCCGTCTGCAGCTGGAACAATGAAATTATTCTATTCCCGATTGTCACACTGAGCAAAGCCAGTGTGGGCCTGACTCTGACCTCCTGACTCCCGAGGACCCTCCCCTCTCATTTCCCAGGCTCCCCCCTCACCAGCTGCTGGCCCTGGGCTGCTGCCTCAACAGCTCCCCCCTCTGCACATTGGTCACCTATCCTGGCACCTGCCATTGGATGTTGTCTTCTCTTGTATTATATGACAACACGGACGTTGCCATGATAAGCCCTGCAATTCCCAGTCACAGGATAGTTCCCAACTTCTCCAGTCTAGGGCCATGCTGATGAGATTTGTCAACAGCAACAGTGATTCTGAATAGAACCAAAGTCATCTCTAAACAACGTGCCTAAGGCTACTTATTGGACTTTCTCTCAGGCATTATCTAGATCTTACTTTTTAGAAAATGAGGACTCAACTGCTCTCATTCCCATCACAACAAAACATACACCCCCTTCCCATTCCTGTCATTCTGTGTTTAGCGGTGGATTTAATTTTGTTTATTTAATTTTATTTTATAGGTGAGCCAAGTAATTGGGATTTCTTCCCAACTCCCAGCCTTTAGATTTAAATTATGGATTTAACTCTTTGCAATTTGCAGCACAAAAGGGCTCCAGAACATTCCTGCTGCAAGCAGGGGCCAGTTTAGAGACTTAAAAAGACAGCCTAGAAGACAAACTGGGTTCAGGGTCTCTGCAGGTTATTGTGTAGTGGTACTGCCCACTGGTGGTCAAAGTACAAATTGCAGCTCCTGAGGGGGGTCAAGCCTTTCCTTTTCCAAAGGGAGTAGTCACCCCCTGCAGCAGAGGCAGAAACAGTTACACAAATTGAGAGATGAAAACTTAAAATGCAGAGATCCTTCTTCAAAAATCATTAAGTAGCCAGGCCTACACCTGTAATCCCAGCGACTCCGGAGGCTGAGGGAGGCTGAGGAGGATCTCGAGTTCAAAGCCAACCTCAGTAATTTAGAGAGCCCCTAAGCAACTCATTGAGACCCTGTCTAAAATATTAAAAATACCCTGTCTAAATAAAATATTAAAAAGGGCTGGGGATGTGGCTCAGTGGTTAAGTGCCCCTGGTTCAATCCCCAGTACCAAAGAGAAAGAAAGAAAAGAAAATCATTAAGTAGCCAGGTATGGTGGCACATACCTGTAATCCCAGGTATTCTTAAGGCTGAGGGGAAAGGATGGCAATTTTGAGGACAGCCTCAGCAACTTAGTATGATCATGTCTCAAAAAAAATTTTTTAAAGACTGGGGATGCAGCTCAGTGGTAGAGCACCCCAGGGTTCAATTCCAAGTACTGAAAAACAAAAACACCTACACACAGATCTCTATAACAGCGTTTTTGTAAATGCCTAAACTTGGAAGCAACCAAGACTTCCTTTGAGGTGAAAGAAGAGTGTGATACAGCCATACTATGGAATATTATTCAGCACTGAAAAGAAATGAACTATCAAACAAGACTGAACCCTGTCCTCCCATCAGGGACTGGGGTTTAGTGGTGATAAAAACCCCTTTTCAGGGGAGGTTCCTGATCCTGAATGCAGGAGGGACTAGTTGGTGACTTTTTACATACACCAGATGACATACTAGGCTCTGGCCAGAAACTGGGAGGAGAAAGCGGCTGTCATCAAGGGAGCGGAACTGGGACTGGGACAGTCACAGGATCCTAGGATCTATGGGAGGTGTGGAGTTTTGTGCCAGGAGACAGGGCTATCCATGCTTATACTGAGGAACGGTCTCCTTACCCTCCTGAGGACAGTGTGCTCATTTCTGGCAGCTGCCATAACAACGTACCACAAACTTGGTAGCTTGAAACAACAGGAACGTATTCTCTCACAGTTCTGGAGGCCAGAAATCCAAAATCAAAGCATCAACAGGGCTGTGGCCTCCTGTGGCTCCTGGAGATTCCTAGTATTGCCTCCTCCTGGGTCTGCCCACCTTGGCTTGGGGCTGCTCTCTCCAGTCTCCACCTCTCTCTTGACTCCTCTTCTGTGTGTCTTCTCCCCTTCTGCCTCTCAACTGCACACTAATGATTGGATTTAGGACTCACCCAGATAACCCAGGATGATCTCATCTCCAGATCTTTCACTTTGTCATATGACAAAAAAAGACTTCTTCCAAGCTAGGTGACATTCACAAGTTCTGGGCAAAATAAATTGGAATTCCTCACCCCCCCCCGCCTCCTCCCCATACACACAGCTTCTGGGAATGTAGAAGGGTGCAGTTCTCTGGGAAACAGTCTGGTAGGTCCTCAGGATCCTGAACTATAGAGTCACCACATGATACACGGTATATTTGACATGCAGGTCTTTGGGGTCATTAATCAGACTACCACATGCTTTGCCTCCTGCTCTCCAGAACATGGAAAATCTACCCCCTTGGAAGCTCCCCATGAGGGAACAGTAGGTCTCAATGCCCTCTCTAAGACTTCCAATGGACTCAAATCCTGGTCCCACCCCTACCCTGTCTAGTGGCTTCCTCAGCGGGTGAGGTTGCAGCGCTTGTGTTGGCGCCATCTGGTGGAACCAGGGCATCACTGCAGGCGCGCGCCCTATAGAAGTAAGCCAGGCCCCCTGCCCACGTGGTAAAATTTCAAATTGTCATATTGAAACAGGCAAAAGGAAACAAGTGAAAATCTTCCAGAGAACGTATTTTATTCAACCCAATGTATTCAAGACATTATCAATGCAACATGTAGTCAACAACAACAAAAAAGCAACATATTATTTTACATGATTTTCTTCATACTAAATCTTTGAAACCCAGTGTGTGTTTTATGCTCACGGAACCTCTGAATTCAGAACAGCCACCTATCAAGTACTCAGTGGCCACACGTGCTGGTGGCTGTGGTACTGGACAGCACACCTCTAGAAGTCCAAGTGGAAGGCACGAGGGGGTGGGGCAGGGCAGGGCTCTGAGGTGAGGGAGTCTGAGATGGAGGCAGAAGAGGGGAGCTTAAGGAAGGGTGGCCCCATATTGAGGTCAGGGCCTGGCTGTCCGGACCTGGTCTTCGTGTGATCTCAGTGCCAGGTCCTATGGCCTGCAGGTGGGGGAAGTGCACACTCAGACCAGAGTTCTCTGCTGGCCGGACTGAGCAAGCCCCAGCCTTGGCGAGCCTGGTCCCACCGGCCTGGTAGGTGCATTCTCGTCCTCCTGAAGGCTGCCTGTGCTGGACTGCCTGCCCAGTCCAGCGTGGCACACACTGGGTAAGAGCTAGCATCTGAGAGCACTGTCTTTTTCTACTGGCCGCCTTCTCTTTTCCCAGCATTTGAACAACACTGACAGTACTTTAAGCACTCACCAAATATTTGTAGAATGAATGAAAAGAGAGTCCCGGGCCCCGTGCCCAGCCTCCTACTCCACCTTACCAGCTGCTGTCATGTGTTGAGTCCTGTCTACACCCCGGGCACTATGTCAACCACTTCCAATGAGTTATCCTTAAATCTCACCCAGCCCTGATTGGTGCTGACTCAGTCACTGCTGGATGCAGCTCAGTAAAAATGGTGCTGAGGACAGCGCTGGTGGGGCCGGCCACCTTCACACTCTGTCTCCCCCACAGAGTTCACCGCCATGGCCCAGGCCATGCACCTGACCTCCTCATCTCTGCAAGGTGACTCCCACTGCCTGGATGTAGCTGCCAAGACAGCCCAGACTCCCCCAGTCTCTGTGGGGCATCTCTCCCCTTCCCTGGGTGCTGAGGTCTGACTTCTAATGCTCTCCTCAGTCCCCATACAGCAGAGCTGCAGACCTGACTCAGGTTGACAAATGAGGAGCAGGCTGGGGAGAAAGTCTGCCTTTGCCATTTTGCTACTGTCCCCAAAAGCTCCTGTGGGAGACAATGCGAGAGGGTTCAGAGGGAAAAGATTAGGTTGCGAGAGCCTTAAACTAATCACTGAATTAGTCCCTGATGGGATTAACTGAGTGGGGGCTGGGGTGTGGCTGGAGGAGGTGCATGGCCATGGGGTATGCACTTTGTATCTGGGGAATGGACTCTCTCTCTTTCTCTGCTTTCTGATCAAGATTCGAGCTGCTTCCCTCTGCCACACTCTTCCACCATGATGTTCAGACCCACCTTGAGCCCTGAGGAATGGAGTCTGCTGTCTATGGATTGAGACCTCTGAAACCATGAACCCCCAAATAAACTTCTCCTCCTCTACAGTTGTTCTGGTTGGGTCCTTCAATCATAGCAGTGAAAAAGCTGACTAAAACTCCCACAGTTGGGTAAATTATAAAGAGGTTTGGCTGGGCCCAGTGGTGCATGGCTATAATCCCAGCAACTTGGGAGGCTGAAGCAAGAGGATTGAAAGTTTGAAGCCAGCCTCAGCAATTTAGCAAGACTCTGTCTCAGAACAAAAAAAATAAAAATGGACTGGGTATGTCACTCAATGACAGAACACTGCTGTGTGCTCCTAATACCAAAAAAAAGAAAGAGAAAGGAAGGAAGGAAGGGAATTTATTTTGGCTCAAGTTCTGATCCAAGGTGGAGAGGCCACATCTGGTGATAGCCTTGTGGCTGAAAGAGTTCTGAGGTGGTGCAGAAAATCACATAAATGTGTCCTGTGTCTTCGTCTTCCTCCCTCTTCTTTTAAAGCTACTACTATTCTGATGGCTTCCATCCTAATCACCTCCCCAAAGCCTCACCTCCAAACTTGGATTAAGTTTTCACCCTCTTAATATCTCACAATGGAGATTAAACTCCAACATGAGCTTCAGAGGGGACACCAATACCCAAACCAGCACTCTACCTAAATCCCCACCCCAGTCCTGGTCAAGAATCACAAGCCCAGGAGCTTCTGGGCTGCTGTCTGAGGATGCTGTACATCTCCAGCAGGTGGAGGTGTAACAACACATTTGCAACCCATCTGGGATCATGTCTGTAAATCCTGCATGCTCATCTGCCCCCACCCACATCCTATTTTTAACATTCGACACAGAAATGCAGCAGGAATTACCCTGTAACTTTGGGGGGAGTGGTTACCAGGGATTGAACCCAGGGTGCTTAACCACTGAGCCACACCCCCAGCCCTTTGTTTTTAATATTTATTTTTTAGTTGTAGTTGGACACAATATCTTTATTTTATTTTTATGTGGTGCTGAGGATCAAACCCAGGGCCTCGCACATGCTAGGCGAGCGCTCTACTGCTGAGCCACAATCCCAGCCTCTCCCCAGTCCTTTTTTATGTTTTATTTTGAGATGGGGGTCTAGCTAAATTGCTTAGGGCCTCGCTAAATTGCTGAGGCTGGCTTTGAACTGGAGATCCTCCTGCCTCAGCCTCCTGAGTCCCTGGATTACAGGTGTGCATGACAGTGCCTGGCACTATACCATAATTCAAAATGTTCTAACAACCATACTTGAAAATGTAAAAGGAAATAGGTGGGGCTGAGGGCGTGGCTCAGTGGTAGAGCATTCACTTAACATGCCAGAGACCCTGGATTCAATCTCCAGCATCACAATAAGAAAGAAAAGAAAAGAAAGAGAAAGAAAAAAAGAAATGAAAGAAACAGGTGAATACACCCAACATCACACAAATCATATGGATCAAAACCACAATAACACTTTATATCCATTAGGATGGCTATTACTAAAAAAAAAGAAAAGAAAGAAACACAGAGAAAATAATAAATTTTGGCAAGGATGTGGGGATACTGGAACCCCTGAGCCTTGCTGGTGGGAATTTAAAAAGGTGCTGGTTTTGTGGAAAGCACTATATTACTTCCCTCAGCAACTAAACACAGAATTTTCTAAGGGTCCAGCAATACCACTATGGGTGTGCACCCCAAAGAATTGAAATCAGGGACTTGAACAGACATCTGTACACCATATTCATATTATGCAGTATTATTTGCAATAGTCATAACAAACTGGAGGTAACCCAAGTGTCCAAACACAGATAAAATGGAAAAACAAAAGGTACATACCTACCTTCACATATATGTATATACCTATATATGTAATATATATACAATATATATTACAATATAAAATATATTTCATATATACCTATATATACACACACTTATATACCATATATATGTATTATATATAGGTATATATATACCTATATACCATATATACCTATATATGTAATATATAGATATAAGTGTAATATATTATTATATATTATATAATATATTATGTATATGTAATAATATTCGGCCTTAAAGAGGTAGGAAATTTTGACAAATGCTACAACATGACATCATGCTCAGTGAAATAAGGCAGACACAAAAAGACAAATATTGTATGATTCATTTGGATGAAGTACCTAGATTAGCAAGTTCATAGAGAAGGGACAGGATCATGTAGAGTTACTATTTAATGTTAGAGTTTCAGTTTTGCAGGATGAAGGGAGTTCTTGTGATAGTTACACAACCACAAGAATGTTACTAATGCCACCTAACCACATACTTTAAAATGGTTAACCCAATCAATTTTATGTTATTATTTTACCACAATAAAAAGTGAATAGGCAAGATTAATTTTAATAATATTTTATCCTAATATACTCAAAATATTATCATTTCAACATATAATCAATATTTTAAATTATTGAGATGTTTTACCTTCTTTTTACCACATGATCTTTTACATTTTGTGCATATTTTACACAAAGCACATCCCAATGTGAATCTACCATGTGTCAAGTGCTCAACAGCCATGTTTGGCTGGTGGCTACCACACTGGATGGTATTGATCTTCAACTTAGTCTGCAAACATCTCCACCATATCTGTAAAGACTCGCATCTCCACGGCCACACCTGAGGCTCTTCTGCAGCGTCTCTGTACACCTTCCACATCACCCACATTCAAACCCGCCTATAGTCATAGGCCAACGCCTACATCTCATCCCCAGACATCATCAGAGAAAGAACCAGCTCTGGAGTGCCCACTGGCTTCAAACTGGATTTGACCTGCAAATCTCCCCTCTCCTTTGCATAAATATATATCTCATTTGTGCATCAAACTAAAGCATCTCAGATAGTCATCTCAAAGTCAGGGAGGCGTGGGATTGGGAAGGAGGTCCCCGGGCATCCTTCCTCCTGCTTCCCCTGGGGCTCTTCCTCCTCCTCCTCTTCCTCATCGCTGCTCTCCTCCTCCTCTTCCAGGATGGCCACCAGATCCTCCCGCAGTGCCCCCATCTCTAGCCCCAGGCTGCACAGCTGGCCCAGCAGCTGGATATCCACACGGCGCAGCTTTCCCTGCGGGCAGGAAGGGGTGTCAGGGGCATGCCACACCAGAGGGCAAGGGGTCCCACCAGGACTAGGGTGGGAGCAGGTCCCAGGTCCAGTCCTGGCCCACAGCACCTGGGCAGGTCCTCATTGTGCTCCTGGGTGCCATCCTGCCTGTCCTCCTGTCTCTTGATCTCAGTCTCTCTTTCCATTTCTGTCTCTCTTGTCTGCTTCCACTTTTCTGCCCATCTCTGTGTCTCTCCATGTCCGGGTCTCTCCCTGTCTGTATCTATTTCTGTTGCCCATGTCTGTACTCCTGCCGTGGCTCTTCGCATCTCTCCCCCCACCCCTCATATTCAGATCCAGTCTGCCTCTCTGTCCCAGGATCTCTGATTTGCACCTGCCTCTCTGTCTCTGTCTCCATTGCCCTCGCAATGTCTCTGCTTCTCCCTCCACCTCTGCCTCCAGTTCTCACTCCTGTCTCCCAGCTCCTGTCTTCCAGCCTCTGGCCCTTTCTACCTCACCACCATCACTCACTCACTTATTCATTCTCTCTCTCCATCTCTTGTCCCTCCAAATCCCTCCTCACTCACCAGCTCCTCCCAGATCCACAGCAGACTCTCCTTGGCACCTCCAGGTTCCTCCTCTGGGGACAGAAGGGTCTGTCCAGGGCTCCCCTCTGAGGGGGGTCCCCTCAGGGCCTGGGGTAGTGGGCCCAGCCCAGGGGGCTCCAGTCCCGCCTGCTTCAGTTGCATCCACAGCTCCATAGTCTAATCAGTGGCTGCTAGGAGGAGGAAGTAGCAAGGTTCAGGGTGACTCAGTGTCCTGGGGAGTCATGGGGTTGGGGGAGGAAAGGGCAGTGTGGGGGGTGCTGGCAGAGGCATCCCAAAGTCCATTCTTCACTGAGAATCAGCTGGCTGTGGGGTTTTTTTTCTTCCCTCCTGAATTCCTACCTCAGCTCTCACACGGTCCAGCCACAGCCTCTCTGGGAGATCAAACTCCACCTTCCTGCCTCTTCTCAGACCAGACCACCCACAGGTGCTGGGTGTCTGTGGATACTGTCTGCCCTGCCTCTCCTGCATCCTCCCACCTCTCCAGTCCCTCCTTCTCAGCCTTTTCCTAAATTACATCACCTGACGTCTTATGTGCCCACAGATTGGTGGTCTTTACCTGTCTCCTGGTTCTCGCCATCCCAGGGCTTGTCTAAGGGTCCCTTAGTGTCCAGACTACTATCCATAACAGAGTGGCCAATGTTGCTGGCCCTGGACTTGCCTGCATCAGGGTGGCCTTGCTGTGGAAAAGACTAGGGAGTTCTACAGGCCTCCCTCTGCCTCTCTTTCAAACCCAAAGTTTTATAAAATTCCACTGAGAAGTCAATGGTTCCCAAGTCCCTGACTCAGTCCCGACCTCCTTCCTGAGCTCAGATCCCACTCAGCAGCTCCATATGGATGTCAGACATCTCAAGGTCAACATGGCCAGAACAGTACTCTCAAATGTGAACTACCAGACAAGATTAATTTCCTGTTGACACTGTGAAAAATTATCACAATCTTGGTGGCTCAAAACAACAGTTATGGGCTGGGGTTGTGGCTCAGCAGTAGAGCGCTTGCCTAGCATGTGTGAGGACCTAGGTTCGATCCTCAGCACCATGTACAAATAAATAAAAAATAAGGGTATTGTGTCCACCTACAACTAAAACATATATATTAAAAAAAAACAAAACAGTTATTCTCTTACTGTTCTGGAGATCAGAAGTCTAAAGTGACTGGTGCATAGGGCTGGTTCTCTCTAGACGGTCCAGGGGAGAATCCACTCCCAAGTCTTTTCCAGCTTCCAGAAGCCACGGCCTTCCTTGGCTCACAGCCCCTCCTTCCTTCACTCTAACCTTTGCCTCCACCATCCTGTCTCCTACTGACTCGGATCTTCCAACCTGCCCAGTGGAATCTTGTGGGTATATTGGTCCTACTGATTACTCGTAAAATCTCCCCCTCTCAAGATTCTACTTCAGTTAGGGCTGGGGTTGTGGCTCAGTGGTAGAGCACTTGCCTAGCACTGGGTTCAATCCTAACACCACAATAAATAAATAAATAAATAAATAAAATAAAAGTATTGTGTTCTTCTACAACTAAAACAAAAATTAAAAAAAAAAAAAAGATTCTACTTTACATCTGCAAAGTCCCATATAAAGAACTACTGTCACAGGTTCAAGGATCACAAAACATAAATATCTTGGAGGTGGGAGCATTATTCAGCTTATCATCTCCACCTTCCCCAATCTGCTGCTTCTCTAGTTTCCTCATCTCCATAAGGGACACCCCAATCTTCTTAGTTTCTCAGGCTGTTGGCATGACCTTCAAATAGATTCAAAATCTGAGCCTTTCTCACTATCATCACTGCCTAGACTATTGCAATAGCCTCTTTGCTCGTTCCTCAACCTATTATATCCAATTTCCACCTGGCAGAAATGATCTTACAAAACGTAAATAAGATTTTGACACTCTCCTCACTGGGAACAGAATAATATCCTACTGGGCCTGCAGTCAGCCTTCTGTCCACCTCTCTGACCCAGTCTCTATCTCTCTCTGCAAGCTGGTTCCCACATAAGGGCCTTTACACTAGCTATTATTTCTACCTGAAACACTTTTCCCCTAGACCTTGGAATGAATGGCTGTTTTCTTCCTTATCATTACTTCCTTTTTTTTTTTTTTCTTTTTGGTACTAGATATTTTACCACTGAGCTACACCCCCAGTCCCTGCCCTTTTTTTTAGCCCTAGATTTTTTGCAATTTTTTTTTTTTTTTTTTTTTTTTTTTTTTTTTTTTTTTTTTTTTTAGTTTTAGATGGACACAATACCTTCATTTATTCTTTTTTAATGTGGTGCTAAGGACTGAACCTAGTGCCTCATATATGCAAGTGCTCTACCATTGAGCCACAATCCCAGCCCATCCTCAGTTTTTTTTTTTTTTGAGAAAGGATTTTGCTAAACTGCTGAGGCTGACTTCCAATTTACAATTCTCCTACCTCAATCACCTGAGTTGGTGGGATTAAGGCATGCCCACCACTCCTGACTCACTTCCATCATTAATGTCACCTCTTCAGAAAGGCATTTTTGCTGATGGCTCCATGTCCCAGTCACTGCCTATTATATTTATGAAAACACTGTTTTTATCTACTTCTTATCAAACACTATCTGACTTGATGTTGCTTATTCATTTGCTTCTTATCTATCCTCTCCCCAGCTGGAATGCTGACTCCCTGAGAGAGAAGTTGGGTTGGTCCTGCTCACCAAGGTAACTTCAGCACTCAGAACAGTACTTAACACCCCACAGTAGTGCTCAGGAAGTATCTGCGGAATGAGAGAATGAAAACTTCTATACACAAGACTTCCCACTGAATCTTTAAGCGATCTAGGCTTGACCTCCAAAATAGGTTGAACACTTCACAATATCAGTCTTGAGATCTGATCTCAGTTTCTTACCCTTATGTCTGACCTCATCACCCACTCCACCTTCCCCTAGCTTGACTCCGGTTTAAAAAAAAAAGACACAATCTGTTTTTTAGCCAAATTATTCTGAAGAGAAGGAAATCAGGGAACTGCAGCTGCAGTCTAAGGAAGTGAATGTACAGCTTTTCTAGGGACAGAAGGACTGTCCAGCTTTCCTAGGGAAGGACATGTAGAGTTCCATTTTTCAGGTCCGTGGAGAAAGTACTCCAAGCAATCCTTAAAAGCGAGTAAGCTAAAAATCAGAATGTGCCTTTAAGAGGGTGTGGCCACAAGAGAAGGCATTTGCGACTGAAAAGGGGGGGGGCGGGAAAAGAAAAGACCGGCCCCTTCCGACTACGTAAGCCCGGCAAGATGGCAGCGCCCAGGTCGGTAAGTGACCGGGCCTCCTAGAGCTCCCGAAATTGAAGTCCGCTCTACAGCCTCCACCCTCGGGAGCCCGGTATAAGGGAACAGAGGCATCTCCCGCTAGGGGCTAGGTCTCACACCGGGAGTGTACCTCAGGGGCTATGGGGCAGGGGGCAGAGGGCAGGAAGGATCCCGGGAGCCTCAATCGGCGGCGGAGTTTTAGGGAGCAAGTGGGAGGGGACTTGGCGAGGGCAACCAATGGGAATGTGTGCCTAGCCAATCGGACTGAGGGGTACAACTGATCGCACAAGGAGCCAATGAGCATGCGAGGGTGGGTTCTGGGCGGAGAAGAGCTCTGGGAATGTTTTGCCTGAGAGTTAGGGATTGGGTTCGAGGGTGGAGCCCGGAGAATAAATTTGAGGGAAATTCATGGAGATTTAGTGATTTTGGTGGAAAAACCAGTGGTACCATGAGGACAGAGTTAGGAATGAAGATGTGAATTTGGGAGTTCCAGTGAAAAGAATCTGAGGGGAATTACGGGATTTGCGATAGTCGTTAAGAGAATTTAAAGAATTGGGTAAAAATCAAGGAATGAATTCAGGGAAAATTGTCAGTTTCAGAGTTTTTAGAGGAGCCGGGCGCAGTGGCGCAAGTCTGTAATCCCAGCGGCTCAGGACACTGAGGCCATCGGATCGCGAGTTCAGAGCCAGCCTCAGCAATTTAGCGCGGCCCTAAGCAACTAAGCCAGACCCTTTTTCTAAATTTAAAAATATGAAAAAGGGCTGGGGATGTGGCTTAGTGGGTAAGCGCCCTGGCTCAATACCTGGTGCGCGTGTGCGCGCACAAATACACACACACACACACACACACACGAAGGTTTGGACAAAAGGGAGAATGAGCGATTTTGGTTACAGAAGAAATTTTAGCCCAGCGCAGAGGGTGCACATCTGTGATCCCAGCGACTGAGGAGGCTGAGGCAGGAGGATCAGAGGTTCGAGACCAACCTGGGGGTTTAGTTTAGCAACCCCGTCTCAAAATATAAATTTTAAAAAGGACCAGGGATGTAGCTCACTGGCAGAACGCCCCTGGTTCAACCCCCAGTACTGCAGAGGAGGCTTTGAAAGGGAAATCAAGGGTTGGGGGGGCTTCTCTTGTGGGCATGCACCTCCATTTTTCAAACCTTCTCTTAAAGGCACATACATTTTTTGGTCTTCTCAGGTTTAGGGAGCGCCCAAGTGCTCTGTCCATGGTAAATTAAAGAGATAAATTTAAAGGGAGGTCTGGGGCAATAGTTCATTGATAGAGTGCTTGCTTAGCACTCCCCAAGGCCCTGGGTTCAATACTAACTGAACTTTGTTCAGTACTAACAAAATAAAATTAATTAAGATTATATTTCAGTGGAAAGAAAAGGGTCAATCAGGAAGATTCCAGGGAGAATTGGGTAAAATTAACGGGCAATTTGTCAGAAATTAAAGGAGTCAGACAATTGAGGTTTTTAGAAAAAAACAGAACTTGGTGGAAGAATTTATAAAAAAACAGAATATTTGTCTAAATCAAGGAGAAAATTTAGGGTTGATTAAAGGAAGAATTTGGGGGGCTGGGGATGTGGCTCAAGCGGTAGCACGCTTGCCTGGCATGCGTGCTGCCCGGGTTTGATCCCCAGCACCACATACAAAACTAAGATGTTGTGTCCGCCGAAAACTAAAAATATATATATATATATATATATATATATTAAAAATTCTCTCTCTCTCTCTTTAAAAAAAATAAAGGAAGAATATGGGGAAATTTTTGGAATCCCAAAGAGTTTTATATTTTTCTCTTGGTGCTAAGGATTAAACCCAGAGCTTTGTGCCAATGAAGCAGGTGCTCTACCACTGAGCTTCATCCCCAGCTCAGAATTGGGAAGTTCTGAAAGGAGAACTTTCAGGAAGCAAGGGATTGAGGTTCATGGAACAAGAAGGGAGGGGAGGTCCAGCTCCAGACCCAGCCTCTCTTTCCTCTTCCTCTCCCCAGTTCCTGTGCCTGCTGGCCCCAATATATAATGGAGGTACTAGGGGCATCCATGGTCTGAGTGGGGCAGTGCCCCGGGAGGGCAGTCAGAGGGAGAGAAGGACACTACTCCAGTTCCTGACTGACCATTTCTACGATGTGGAGGCTCTGAGACAGTACTTGCTCCAGAGGAAGATAGCGAAGGTGCACAAGGAAAATCGGTGAGAACCTGCAGCCTGCAAGACCCTGCCTGCTAATCAGGCCTCACCAGTAAGAGCTTCACTCCTGCCCTGCTGCTCCCAGCCAGCACCAGGGCTTCCCTACCACTGTTGCATCTTCATATCCCGCCCACACCCTCCTCAAGGCACCTGCTGCCAACAGCTCCACTTGGGGGATCTACCTGGCCTCACACCTAACATGGCTAGAATAAAACCTTTCATTTCACCTTAAAAGAACCTGCTCACCTCTAAGCCTTCCTCATCACAGGAACTGGTGCTACTGACATTCAGACTGATTTTTAAGGAATCCTCTTAACTCTTAGCTTCTCCGCCCTCCACATTCAGTGCATCAACATTAGAATATTCCAGGTCTGGTCACCTCCACTGTTTATAATGTCAGGTCACTGTGGTCATCTCTTGACCTTTAATATGTTCTCAGTTACAGTCTACAAAGCAACCAAAGGACCCACAAGAAAGTAAAATACAAACCATCACCACCTGCCTAAAACTCCAAGTGGTTTCTGACTAACTAAAGTAAAAGCCCCATCTCCAAGGCCCTAAGACCTGGCTGCCATGAGCTTTGAGACCCCTCCCAGGGACTCCCCTCACCCCCACCTACAAGGCCTCCTTGTTGCTATGAACCCAGCCATTGAAATTCAAGCCTCTGAGCTTGGCTACTCTGCTCCTTAGGCCTGGCAGGCCCTGGCCTTGACCTTCTCATTCCTTCTCACTATTCAAGTCTGCCCAATGTCACTGCCTCCAAGAACTGTCTTTTTTATTATTATTATTTTTTAGTTACAACACAATACCTTTATTTTGTTTATACTCACCTCACACGTGCTAGGCGAGTATTCTACCCACTGAGCCACAACCCCAGCCCAGTATTTTTAATTTTT